CACACACACACACACACACACACACACACACACACACACACACACACACACACACACACATATATTTTTAGTCCTACAGGTGTTAATCAAACAGCAAAATACTTAAACATTTTCTTGCAATTAAAGATGAGAAATAAGAGAATAGAAAAGAACATAAATATAAAAACATATGTATTATGAGTTCACTAGGTAACTGAGAAATAAAAGTGCATTCTTGTAGGCATTAAGTGCTGGCAATGGCTGAGGAATCAGGGATCCAAATGTTTTCTGCAGCCTGTATAGTTAGTCATTCAGTGTCTTCAACAATCACGACTGTGTGACAAAGCCTCTCGTCTCAGCTAACACTTGCTTTGCTTGCTGACACAATCATTTCACTGATTCTTGAGTACTGGGACAAAACATGCCACAAAACTAAAAAAATAAACATTTATTTTTCAAGAAATTATTTTGGATTAATCTGTTTGATTAATCCGAGTGATTCACCTACATTTGGTTGTAATCTCCTGATTCTTCTACATTTTACCTTGTCTATATTACTCAATATGGATCAACACCACCAGATACATAAATAATGAGTCAAATGAAATATAAATATTTACATATCTAGAATTCACGTATAAGATTTAATCAACTGACACACCAAGGAATGCTTTCAAACTGATTTTCAGCACCATCTGTTGAATTTTCACCACCAACAGACAGAAAATGTAATGTGTTAATGGAATAATCACATTCTGCATATCACACTTATTACAGTAGCCATTTTGTTTGGCTGGTTTGACCACTAACAGGACCTACTTAAAATGAGGAAAATGATCTAAAAATCTCAAAGAATATCTGTATAATCTGAGTGAAAGAGTTCACCACATTATGCATGAGACAGAAAATTATTTATAACCGTATTAGAGTGTGAAATATGTAAAGAGGACCTTTAGAATGAAGGCTGAATTTGCTTTTAAGAGATATTAAGAAATAAAAAAAAGTTTTAAGAGATTTTAAGACTTTCATAAAGAATATAATTTTGTCTAATTTTAAGAATAACCGTACTAACGTTTTTTCAAGCATCTTCACTAGGACAGTGCTAGTAATACATTACATCTGCTTTTTTGTTCTTAGATTTAATATTTACTTTAATACATATAAATGATTGGGTTATGATGACAGGCGTTTATTTTTTTATTTTTTTATTGAGTGATAATGTCATGATTTTTCGATAAAATGAAATGAACTGGAACATTTATGTCTAGAACACAAAACCCCTGATCATTTCAAAGTAGAAATGTTTAAAACTGTAGTTGTGTGGCATGTTTTGTCCCATCCGTCTCAAGATGGATTTGTATTAATGTATGTATCCCGCAACAGAATCGCGCGTGGACAAACACCTCTGATGTTTCGAGTCGTAGAATGGAGTAAATGCTAGTTTAATGAGGTTTCAAGAAGAAGCCGCAAGAAAACTGTCACGTGCCTCCAATCCGCTCACACTGAGCATCGCAGCTGTTATAAACCTGTAAGAAAACTGGACCCTTACCGAGTGGTTCACTCCCCACATCAAGACGCTGAGCAGCGGGTCGCTGGCCCGAAACAGCTTCACCTTCTGAGACACGAAATGTTTCTTCTTGGTTTTGGTTTTGCTGGCGATGGATGCAGCAAGGTTGCTGGCTGCAGAGGCCATGTTTAGCGAGCAGGCTCGGATGAATGAAATCCCTCTCCGCGCGTGGCACTATGGCGATGTCTTGACACAAGCTGTTCAGAATCAGCAGCGCTCCGCCGGATCTCGACATGCAATTTGTCCCTTTCGTTATTTAATGCATCGCGTTCATGCATCCCTCTGCAAACGCGCAGCTGACGAACGATTAAAAACTCTCAGTAAACCCCGCTATCCACCAGCTAACTGCTAGCCGTCATTGACGTTAGCTTGAAGGTTACAGTTGGCTGGATGTGTGCGCTACCAGCTCGTTTACACACGCACAGCTTTGCTAAATCTTATGCTCGCCCGGCGAAGAATCCCACAAGCTCAAATGAATGATATCCGCGTCCATCATGACACTAAACGTGAAATGTGATAAAAAGTAAACTGATGCACAGATTCAGAACGCAGATAGCCTATATAACGTTAACGTTACACCACCCCGATATAAAAAAAAAGGTGTGTCGCCTCATTTAAATCATGGCGAAAACCCGTTAACAAACGTTATTATGGTACGACCACTTATGAATCTCTCAGTGCGAACGTAACTAGTAAAAACCGGCGAAATACTAAAAGGAAACAACTACTGTCCTGCTGAAGTCAAGTCCCGACGAAGACCGGGCATCTGAGCCCATCCACCGCGCCTGAATGCAGCAGCTGGATCGGGCTCGACTGCCTCTGACAGCTCCGCTTTAGCTCAGCTCAGGACGTTGACACATAATCTTGTGTTTCACGTAACGCTATTGGCCTGGCGCCACTCTCGGGTAGATACAGCTACGGCAGGCATGATCAGAGGCGGACAAAGTACTCAACTCTATTACTTGAGTGAAAGTACAGATACCGCTGGTCAAATATTACTCCATTACAAGTAAAAGTTGTAAAGACAGATTTTTACTTAAGTAAAAGTACAGAAGTACTTGCTTTTAAAAGTACTTAAGTACCAAAAGTACATTTCCTTTTTTATGTCAATGCACTGTTTTATTGTTGTACGTAATACTTGCCATACTTCTGATGCAACTTAGAATACATTACACCTACTGAATACACTGACTAGCTTGTAGTATCTTTGGAATAAAGAGCTTTTAGAATGTTAAAACCTATGGGGGGGATTAACACCCCTACCCACCCCCACAAAAGCAGGATGCAGTGATCTCACACAGCTCCGACAGTGTGCACACATCTATGTGTAACCATTTGTCCACATTTGAACAGAGTGGACAGTGAAATCCTATAAATACAGAGTGATAAGGAAGAAAAAAAAATCAAACCTGCTTTAAAACCCAACAACACAACTGTAGCTGTACAACTTTACAACAGCAACACTGCTTTAACAAAAAAGCAAAACAGCAAGACCTATTTGACATAAAAAAAAATTGTTTTTAAGAACTGTATAATCGCTCTCGCAGTACTTTGATGTCACACACAGAACGGTCTGTGCAGTGCTGCAGCAATACTCAAGTAAATGTACTTAGTTACTGTCCGCCTCTGGGCATGATGAAATCCAAGTAGTCCTATTGGTTCACTTCACTCATCTAAATTTTGGTTTTGGTCAGTAACATACGCTTTTCAGGCTTCAACGTTAAAAAAAAAATAAAGCCGTCTAAACAAGGCATCAACAGTCTACCCTGTGCAAAACCGAGTCCACTGAGAAGAGATGTCGCCGAGGACGTAAAACCAATTAATTCCATATGCTACCACGTAGCCTACCTGCGGCGTAAACAGCGTGGGTGTAGTATATTATAATGCAAATGTGTCTAATACCTCTAATATGCTTGTTATCTTTTCCGGGAAAGCTTGTATTTTATGCAGATAAAGCTACAGGCCTTTCACAAAAACGTTAGGAAGACCACATTTAATCAAAATTCAGCCTATACAGCATATTTAATTACATTTCTTAAACTGCGCTCGTGATTGTCCCCCTTATTAAAGTTGGCAAAGCACTTTTTGACTTACGTTTTTAAGCTAAAATCTTACCATGGCATATGTCTTTAATATACTTGCTAGATAGAAAGTTATAGTCACTTGTCTTCTTAAATCACCAGCCATTTACTTTCAGAATGTAAAACCATTTCTTCTAACGTTCTCTCAAAGGCGCATCTTTCGGTGTTCTACTGCCCTCTTCAGGCATTATGATGCCATTGATTCTCAAAGACCCCTACATCATATAAATTACGAAATATTAGATGCGATGTTATTCATGACTCTTTAGTCCAGGTTTGATGTGTGATGAGAGAGACTTAACGTCTCACAAAACATCTCTAAGAAACCAAAATACCATTACAAACATCATGCAACCCATTATGTCAGATCAGTAACAAAATACCATAAAGACCAAATAAAACGTGTCACGTCTTACAAAGCCCGACTCTTTATTTAGACCAATTTGTTTCGATCTTTTCGGCTCATTGTGCATGTATAGAATAGCTGTGTTTGATAGCAGCTCCAACAGTCTCAGTGGGTGATGTTTGGTGAAATCTCACGCATCTTTGCTCCAGTTCCCTCACTGCGAGACCAGCAGCACGCTGATAAACACACGCGAGCCATGCGAATTTAAAGCTCTGCGACATAAACTCACCACATGCTGCAGCAAATCTGACATATCTGAGATATTTTACAAGAAGTTGGTGGATTATCGGAGTAACTGGAGAAGTTATGCTTTTTCCCTGACCATCGCAAAAGCTTAAAAATGAATCCTCATTGCGCGCGCTGTGGGAAAATTGTCTACGCAACAGAGAAAGTGAACTGCCTGGACAAGGTATTGTCTTACTTCCAACGCTTATAACTAAAAATGTATACATACTTGTGTATAACGTTCTTTCATAGATATCGCTCATGGGTTGAGCTTTATGTGCAGTTTCCATCTCTCTACATTTGACAGTATTGGCACAAAGGATGCTTCCATTGTGAGGTGTGTAAAATGACTCTCAACATGAACAACTACAAGGGATATGAGAAGCAGCCCTACTGCAACGCGTATGTTAATGCCAAAAATACTCAATTGCAGGTTCATATACATTGGTAATGTGTTGAACATACATAAAATAAATGATTACCAGTAGCCTGAATTGTATTTATTTGATAGAATATAAATATGGTAGAGACCAAAAGCCCAAAATGACTCACTTCCTTTCTCCAAAAAGGCACTATCCAAAACAGACCTTTACAATTGTGACAGACACCCCGGAGAACCTACGGCTGAGACAGCAAAGTGAGCTCCAAAGTCAGGTAAGATCACTTGTTCACTATGTACTCTGTTGTACATTGTAATCACATTATTACACATGATAAAAAAATATTTTGAAAATGCAGTTCTAAATCTAAAGGGGGCATATCTAGGGTAGGGTAATGATATTTGTTGCTATTGGTAGAGACATTTCAAAGGCATGAGACAATTGCTTACAGCCGTGTGAGTGTTTCGGTTGCCAGGGAGGGACTGGGTGTGATACTTTGAGGTCAGCATGGAGAAAAGCAAGGCAGCTGTCTACTCCGTGGTGCCCTGGCCGATCCCCTCAGCTTCTCCACCTGGCAGCCCAAAAGATGCTGCCAATTCCATACTGTGGCCTAATCCTGGCATTATGAAAGAAAATCTAGCCATTTCTTTCTGAAAGATAGGTCAGCAAGCTGTGAAAATATATTTTGTGTACTTGCATACACAAAATGTTACCTTACCAATTAGTCTGCTGTAGGCATGTGACGGTATAAAATGTTCATGTTGTGATAATTGCTGAAGCTTTTTTTTTTTTTTTGAAAACATTTTCAAACAATATCTAGCGAATGTTGTAGTCCAGATTAAAATGTAAAAAGTTTAAAAAGTATTTTAAGTATTTAGCGCTGTGATGAACACCATAGCGAATAGAATACAAAAATCCGAATGGCTGTTTAATACATTGACATACTCTTCGGGATGTACTAGTGCAGCTGCTTTGTTTACGGGGTTACCGGGGTAACGGCTGGATTTCTGCTGTTCCTTCAGCGCCATCTGCCGTCAGAGAGTGAATGTGCGCTTTCATTCAGCACGTCGTGCGCTTCTCATCAGTGTTGGGCTTGTTTATATCAGAGTGCGCGCGACTCATTGACGCAGCATACCGCGTTGTTGTGCATTTTAACCAGTTCATGGGGAAAGTATTCTTAAGATGCATTCAAAAAATCGGAATAATTTGTAATAAATAATTTTTAAAGTGCCCACAATAACAATATCATGCATGTTCATTATAGTGATATATCGTATCACCGAATACCAGCACATACCTAGTCTGCTGCATTTAATATTGCTCAGGGATATTGTGTTAGGAATTTGAAAAAAAAGAGAAACAAATTATAAGCTCAAATCTGAACTAGATTTGAGCTTCTCAGAAGAAGCAACCATCCAGAACTCCCTCGCAACCGCATAGGAAAGCACTTAAACCCACTCAGAACACCATACCAACTCCCTGGTAAAATGGTTTCCTTGTTCTACAGGTCAAGTACAGGAAGGATTTTGAACAGAGCAAGGGTCAGGGCCTCAAATTTGTCTTGGATACTCCAGAGCTACAGAGACTGAGGAAGGCCCAGGATCAGATCAGTAATGTATGCTGGAAAATGCAGAAAAACTAATGTTAAAACTAATGTAAAAAAAAAAGATGCAAATATGTAAATTTGATAAATTAGTGTACTAGATATTCAAGCGTTTATGATTAGTCAAACACACATACGGTCCAAAAGTTTGGGGTCAGTAAGATTTTTTTTTTGAAAGAAGTCTCTTATGCTGACCTATCCTGAATTTATTTGATCAAAAATACAGTGAAAAAGTGAAGTATTTAAGTGAAATATTATTACAATATTACAGTATTACAATAATTAATTGATTTCTATTTTAAATGTATTTATTCCTGTGATGGCAAAGCTGAATTTTCAGCATCATTACTCCACTCTTCAGTATCACACGATTCTTCAGAAATCATTGTAATATTGCTGATTTGCTGCTCAAGAAACATTTCTTATTACTATCAATGTTGAAACCAGCTGTGTTGCTTAACATTTTTGTGGAAACTATGATACATTTTTCCAAATTATTTGATGAATGTTCAAAAGAACGGCATTTTTAAATAGATTTTTTTAAAATAAGACTGTCACTATTTTCAATTCAATGCATCCTTGCTGAATAAAAGTATTAATCTTTTAATCTAAAGTATTAATTAATCTCTGGCCCCAAACTTCTGAGCATTAGTGTACACATAACACTTACCTGTACATTTGAATGAAACAGATGACATCTCCATTCTTGCAGGCAAAGTATCATAAGGATTTTGAGGTGTCAGGTTTGCATGGGGTCACTCAGGGAACGCGTGGGTCGTACCTGGTACGGGCTCAGATGACGCCTAACCATGAGACGGTGGGGAACAGCACACACAAGGGTGTCCATCAGTACATCATGGAGATGGATCGAAGACCTGGCGTCATTGTGGGTAAGTTCTGTAATGTGAGATGCTCAAACCCGGTACTGCACCCTAAAAAAGAGCAAAGAACAACAAAACCAGTATATTACCTCAATCAAAATAAAATATTACTATTGGAGATTGAGATCATCTTGATCATTGTTGTTTTAGCACCTGTTCTCCCTGGTGCATACTATCCCAGTGGCTACAGCTACATGCATCAGACCAGCATGCATTCACTGAGGTCAATGCAGCCGAGGGCACAACACATGGGCATGGTGAGTCCTCATTTTTCTGCAATTTTATGTAGCATCTATACCATGCTTCATGTTTCTTTTTGAATAAAATGTATTCAGTAATGTAAAATACTTACTTTTAATGCACAAAAACTTGGTCATCAGACTGTGTACAGGGCCCTGTATGACTACACAGCGCAGGATTACGATGAGGTGTCATTCCGGGATGGTGACATCATTCAGAATGTGCAGCCGATCGATGAAGGCTGGATGTATGGAACGGTGCAGCGGACGGGGAGGTCTGGTATGCTGCCTGCTAACTATGTAGAGGGCATCCGCTAGTCGTTCCTACATCTCTCACTGAACCTCAAATCAAACACCAAATCTGAATGCTCATTAAATGGCCACAGGTACAACTCTATTTTAATAGTGTGAATTGTTCCACTTTGTGTTTATAATGTTAACTTTCTTAATTTTGTTATTCTGAACGTCCAGTGTAAGTGAATGTACTCTACTGTTCAAAAGTTTGTTGTCTGTAAGATTTTTATTATTATTATTTATTTTTTAATGAGTACTTTTATTCAGCGAGGATGAATTAATTTGATCAAAAGTGACAGTAAAGACATTTACATTGCTGTAAAACATTTCTATCTTGATCTTTTAACATTTCTATTCGTCAAAAATTCCTAAAAATCACACTTTCTACAAAAAAAAAACCATTAGGCAGCACAACTGTTTTCAACATTGATACTAAAAATAAATGAAATAAATAAAATTCCCGCATTACATCACAGGAATAAATTACATTTTAAAATATTCAAATAGAAAACAGTTACTTTAAAGGCTTATTAGTTCATAATATTACAATTTTACTGTAATTTATATCAAATAAATGCAGCCTTGTTGAGCATAAGAGACTTCTTTCAAACACTTCAAAAACTCTTGCGTCCCAAGCTTTGGAAAGGTAGTTTATGTAATGTAATAGTTTTGTACCAACTTTGAAATAAATGTTAAATGTACAAGATGTATAGAAGATTGTAAAGAGGATTCTGTCACTTAAATATGAAAGAGAGCATTATTTTTAACAGCATGTTGCCTTGTAAAACATGAATATTTGTGTAAACTGTTCTGCACAATGTAAATTAAATGTTCCACTACAACAAAAACTGCATTAAAACATGACATATTTTACCCACCATCATCATTCAAGCAGTATGACGAGAAAAAATTAAATTTATTAAAAATCATTTTTAATAAACATATCAGGTATTTATAATTGTTAAGGGACTGACATTTCGTCAACAACAATTCTCAGCTTCAATACTGGAACCATCAGTCATGTAGCGTTTCTGCTATAATCTCAGTTCACCTTCATCTCAACCATATTCATCTTCCTTTCTTCATTTTGGAAACCTTCTCCTTACGCTTTTTCACATGCTTTGGCATTTTATTTTTTCTTTTCTCCCTCTGACCTTCTTTAACCAATTTCTTTCTTTCCTGAAAGACATAGAAATACCAACTTATTCTCGCAACCCACGGACACAATTCATGTGTGGCAACATTTTCGGTTCCTATTAGGTACCTTTCTGTCCATTTGTGCTTCCTCAGTGTGGCTGCCACCCTCCAGTGTGTCCTCCCCTTCTGACTTATCATCTTCATCCTCCTCCTCTCCCTCAGAGCTTGAACTATCATCCTTCGTTGAGTCTTCCAGTATCGAGGGTACCTTTTAAATAATAATAATAATAAAAAAATTCAGCAACAGCATTTTTAATCTGATTTCTCATTGTCATTATGCTTGAGTTTGGCGACGACTGTTGTTTATAATATATTCTCTGCTTTAATCCTCCACACATGCCATGCAGGCAAAGAAAATTCCAAAGAGACCTAGTGGATGCATTAAAAGCAAAAACAAAGGCTTGCCCACATAAGGTGTCTTAAACCTAATGCTTAATCAGTAATGCGCCAAATGGTCTTCTTAAAAACAAAAACAGCATTCTCCTCACCATTTGCACACCAGAAAGGTCCTTCCTGAGGCCTGTCACTGTCCGGTAGAGGATCTGTAATGGAAACCAGATCATTTCAACCTAATAGCTCTCAGAGCATTAGTTCATTATTTTTACTTAGGGCAGCGAGACATACATTGTCAGTACTTGTGTCCTCAGAAGCCTCCTCCTTTTTCTTCAACATTGTGTCCACATCCCTCTCATAGTGAGTGACTTCATTAAGTGTGCGTGGAATGTAGGCTTTCTTAAACACCTGTTTTGAGACAGATCCACATGTGAATTGTTAGACAGGGTTCCCACAACAATGACTTTCAAAAAAACAAACAAAAAAACATTGTGTGCACAAATGTCTCCACAATGACTATCAATAAACAGTCTGGTATATTAAGGGTTTATATATATATTATATTAGGTATTACAATGTTAGCAAGTGTTTACCAGTGTATAGTATTATTTATATACTATTACAGTATATTAATACTTTGAATTAGCTTTATTTCTTTTATATTTTTAGTTTTCATTTTAGTTTTAGTAATTGTTGTGTTTGTCATTTTTATTAGTTTTTTACTTTTTATTTATTTATTTATTTTTTCAGTTTTAGTACTTCAACTTAAACTTTGGTTAGTTGCCAAGATAGTTGCCAACATTTCTAGGTTAAATTTGTCAAGTTCGAGTTTTCCATCTAATATTTATACTTTATTTCTGCCTCATTTTAATTCATGAAAATGAATTCTAATAGCTTTAGATTTAGTTAAAAATAACAACACTGGCTTTTACTCTACACAAGTGTTCACAAAGAGCAATATATGACTATTTCAACTATTTTAGAGCAGGGCAAAACCAAAAAGAAAAAAAAAACTCATATTTACTACAGAAAGACCTTTCAATGACATTTTACATTCAATGTCATTTCCATTACTTTCTCAGGACTGCAAATTACTGTTTAAAAATTCAACAACTTTCCATGACAGTGTAAACTCTGGTAGTTTGGACAGGGATGCAACTATTGAGAAATGTTAAAAATGAATGCACCTCCTCATCAACTTTGTCCTGATTGGATCTTTCCTCTGCAGTTCTTTCAGATGCTATCTCCATTGCCTGCATGTAAACCACACAAACACTAAAAAAAAAAAAAACACTGCAACAAATGTATGTACCCAATCACATCAAGCTTGTCAGAATGCACAAAAAGCCACAAGAAAGAGAAACAGCCTGTTGTTAAAGTGCCCCTATTATGCCATTTTTAAGGTTGCTAATATTGTTTTATGAGTCTCCTAAAACAGGCTTACATGCATGCACGGTCAAAAAACACGTTAGTTTTCTCAATTTTTTATTTAATTTAACCTCATTTCTAAATGACTCATGCGAAGCAGTTCAAAGAATCAGTCTCTCTAAACCCCTTCTTTCCGTGAGACTCTTTTTTTTTTTTTTTGATAGACAATAACTATTTATCGTGCACTGTCGGCGTGATAGTGCAGATAGTTTATGTTCACATACAGCTACATGACACACTGCATGAAAGGTAATATTCGAAAAGGCATAATAGGGGCACTTTAAGATTACCCATAATGCATCACTACAACTCACTGACCTTGTCCAGGTACTGATTAATATTGTCACTTGTGATGGAGGGGTCTGTGATGAACTCAAACAGCTCACGTACAGTCATAACAGCTACATTATGCTTCTGGAAAAAGTCTGAGAGAACCAAAAAAAAAAATAAAGAATTAAAAATGTTTTGTTGACATTAATATTAATATCTTATCCTATTCAAGGCTGCACATTACCATTGACATTGCTGCAATCTTTGCGAAGAAACTCTAAAGCATGTGGGTGATCATGCTCAACGGACTGAGAGACGTCAATGATATAAGCATCTCCGTTATGATACCTGCACACCAGAACACATCAATGCTTAATGTTTTCCTACACTTTCCACTGATCACAGCACAACTGAACATCAGCAAACATTAACTGATGCTTAAAAAACCTTGTGTACATAATATAAAGTCAGCTTACAGCATATTGAACTCGCTAAGGTCAGCATGGACCAGACGAGCATCATTGTACATTATTCTCATATTCTGGATGATCTGTAGGTAGAGTTCCCTGGATTTGGATTCGGACAGGACAGCGTTCTTCAGCAGAGGGGCAGGCCTGGGGAATACACTGGAGTGTCATTTAGGAATTTGTTGAAAACTCTGAAACATTGCCATGTTTTGATCAGTTGCCGAGAAGTATTTGTGCATGTGTAAATGGTGAAGGTAAAAGCCCACGTACATGTCATCTCGACCAATGAAGCTCATGACAAGGACGTGACTCCGCAACATGATGGGCTCTGGACTTGGAATCTGTGCGGTCTGTAGTCTTGAGGTAAATGGATCCGCATTAGAGACAAAAACCATCATTAAATATGTTCATGAAAAAAAAAGAAAGTAGTAATAATAATATTCACCTGATCAAGTTTCTCATTTCCTTCTCAGCCCAAGTGCGCACCATTTTCCTAGGATTGCCCTTGCAATAGCCATGGCGGAACCTAAATCCGGACATAGAATTGGACAGAATTTTGACTATATTTTGACATATTGGACATAGAAATTTGCTGTTTAATGACACACATCAATAAGACTAAATAGGACTAAATGCCTGAACAAAGACATCTGTCTTACCTGAATTCCCCGCTGACATATTTATCTCTGTCTTTGAATAATAGAATTGATGTTTTGTATATTTTGATGGCTCTGCTTTCTCCTTTTGCAGTAGTTGCATGGTAGACATTTGCCTGTGGTACAAAATGCAGGAGAGAAGAAAAAAAATAGAATAGAAAAGCAAAAGAAAAAAAAGCAACATTAACATTAGCTCTTAGTAAAACGACTGATATAAACACAAGATCTCAAGTGTACTAAAAATATAGCAATTGATCATTTTATTCTATTCAACCAGACAAACCAGGGTTATAATAGTTACCTAAATTATTTTCATTACTTTAAATAAAATAAAAAATTAACTGAAATAAAATAATTGATAAAAAAACATCTCATTTTCAACCTCAAGTACTAAAATAACAAAGAATAAATGAACTAAAACTAACTTGCCTCTTTGCCTGTGCTGATACAGCCATTGATCTCTGAAAAGACGCCTCTGCTGAGCATTTTAAACAGAATCATACGTGTACGGGGGTCCAAAACCTGTACAGTCACATTAAAATATCACACTGAATAATGCACCAATCACAACACAGGAGCTCAAGTGAAATCATCACCAATAAATCTTGAGCAAACAACACACCTGTTCAACAGTAGCTCTGTCGGATTTGTCCTTTACTCGAAAACTGCAAAAAATGTTTCCGGTTTTTAAGATTAAAAGACTTAAACTTGAACGGAAATCATGTCTGTTACGCTGTTACTTCTAACTAAAAAATAAAACTATAACTATTAACAATACTTTTTGTTAATTTAAAAGCTGAAATAAAATATACAAATATTAGATGAAAAACTTGTTTTATTTTTAATTTTCTTTTAATTACTAAAATGACAAAAACTGAATTAAAAATAAATTAAAAGCCAAATATAAATATATACAAAAAAAACACCAATAAAAATGACAAAAGCACATGATAAAATAACTAAAGCTAAAACTAAAAAATATATACAAATAAAATCTAATTCAAACTACTATCAAATACTATTATAGTATATAAATAATACTAAAATAAGATTACATACGTGTCTGCTTCCCTCTGCTTTTGCATCACAGTGACTTTATTGATCACAGAATCAGCATAGCTCAGTCTATCTGTGAAACATAGATACTTAAATCAGAAAAAGCACAACTTTTAAATCAGAAAAAGTAAAGCTTTTAGCACATTTTTGATTCATTAATAATAAGCTTACCAAGGTTTATTTTGTTTTCAAATTTCCTCAGGACTTTGTCTGATGGGGTGGACATCTTTGAGGACTTATTATTAGAATTTTGACGATTAGCCTGGTGAAAAAAAAAAACACATAACTCTCTCTCTCTCTATATATATATATATATATATACAGTGGGTACATGTATATATGTATATGTATATATATATATATATGACCTATTGTCATTTAAACTACACAAATTCTTAGAAACACTGGCCTTGCACAATCCTTGCATAATTATTTATTTATGTTTTAAGGCCATATCAGCAAAAACGGCTATATTCATGGCAACATTAACAATATCATTTCAATATACAATATCATTACAATAATATAAAATTCTTAAGAAACAATCATTATACAAAAACATACAAGAAACAACAATAGTACTGATCCTTCCATAATGAATACCTGTGGATTATTTCCAGTCCTCATCGCAGTGTAGCGTTTCGTGAAGTCTCCTCCTCCTGATTCATTCCAATCCCATTCATCGTCCTCTTCCTCATCTTCATCATCATCATCATAGTCCTCCTCATTTTCGAAGGTCTGTAAAGTGACTTCATGGAGTGGGTTCTCCAGGGAGGGCTTGTCAGGGACTTGATTGATTTCAGCCTCACTGTGAAATACCATACGGTGTAAACTTAACCCATTTAGCATTTGTTACCCAAAATGTTTTATTAATATTATTTGCTGGTGTAATGAGTCACAATAATTCCAGTTTGCCTCTCTGAAAATATGAAACACATCCTGTCATAATAAACATACAGCTACCATACATGGTATGGTACACACATCACTGATCTATGCATGTTTGTTCTCTATTATAGATCAGTGGCTGGTACACATAGTATTTTGGTGTGTATATACCAGTATAGTATTGCTTTTCATGATCGTGGAACCCTGTGATATGACTGACAACATGCCTCCATCAATTGAACCTAATGTAGATTCATACCTTCCCTCGTCCGCGTCATCAAACTGCCCTGGTACAACCTGATACATCGCGGTGCTCTAATTTGAAATGTCAAAAAATGTCGGAATCCTTCAAATATATCTCAACAAAAAAAGAAAATGTAAAGGAACTGACCAAACACCGTCAAAACACGCTTACATACCAACAGCACGCACGTACACCAGCGACTTCTTACTTCCGGCAACGTGGGTAAGGGTGCTGCGAAGGGTCAATGAGCGAACTCGTAACGGCAAGTCATACATACTTCTTCTTCTTCTTTCTTTTACTGGCAACCGCACTTAACAGTGCATTACTGCCATCATCAGGTAGCTTGGATCAGAAACATTTCCTCTATCTTCTAACATTTTCTAACCCCCCCATTACAAAGAAAAAGAAAAAATAAATACACTGGCGCTGCGTGTTCAGCTCCTCCAGTTTCCACCCCAATTCCCTTTAAATCCCAATATCCCACTATATCCTTATTTACCCGTTAGATATACTTTCCCTTCTACCCACACTATATCAGCATCTTCTACCTCTCTATTTATACTTATATTGAACTTATTGTTTCTTCCCCTGAACCACAAAGCCCCATCATATGCAAACAGTGATCTTCCAATACTCCTATCCACCGTACTAAACATATCATTTATCATTATTATAAAAAGCACTGGACTTATTACACTTCCCTGAGGAGTGCCATTTTCTATTATTCCTTGAGATGATATAGAGTCTCCTACTCTCACTCTTATTACTCTTTGTTTAAGGAAGTCACTAATCCAATTAAACATTCTTCCCCCTACCCCCATCTCCTGCAATTTTATCATCAAACCCTCTCTCCATAACATGTCATAGGCTTTCTCAATATCGAAAAACACGGCAGTTACTGATTTTTCAGTCTGTGCTGAACAATTTATGACCTCTGCCATGAATAACACAACTCTTTTTACTTACTATCATTGAAGTCATACATTGATTTTCAGAAGGCTAATTATCCATGAATTTTTGTACTTCATAAAAATATACCGTTGATATCAAATGTAAACAAAATTAGATTTAACAGAGGTTGGTTTTAACATGAGTGGTGCATTTGGGTGGTTGCCAGGCTGTTCTGTTCATAATCTTAATATTATGAGTTACTGATAATATTAAATATAAATACTATAATAATACAATATTTCTGTTAATATTATAGAAAAGTTTTAATTGAGAAAAAATGTAGACAGAAAAAATAGAACTTAATTTCTCTCTCTTTCTTAGTGTACATTTATTGATTGGATGTTTTATTCGCTTTACAGGGTTGAACAGCAAGGTGAAAAAATAAAAAATCAACGAGTTGTCTGCATCTGAATTGATCTGACAAATATTTGCAATCCATCTGACAAACATGGTCACTGATTATGATAGTGGAATAAATTACAACAATTTTTGCAGAAAAGTTTTGGTACAATTAAGGCTAAGGCATACTTTGACCAAATTCAGTCAAATGCTCTTAAATGTAGTGTAGTGAACAGAGTTTGAACTGTATACACCAGACAGATTACACAGAAAGATGGTGATTTTGAAAAACCCCTGAGAAAGAGAATAACTGAGAAATTCAAATTAGATTAACATGCAAAATCAATATTTTTATAACTATATTGTCACACCCATCCAATTATACTCTATGGTTCAATGCTCTCAAATGAATGGATAGTTGAATTGGTTGAAGGTTTCATTAGCGGACAAGCAAGAAGACACACAAAAGATATAATAATCTAAAGCATTTGAATGTACAAAGAATCTGAAAACATACAGAACCTCACAATCTCAAAATTCAACAACATTCATCTTTTGGATTCTCCTCGCTGCAGAAATTGGATTCTACATGGCTTTTCAAAATGACAACCACACGCTTTAGACTGATCAATAAATACCTGCATAACATGTTCAGTGTTTTCGATCCATATAACTGGGCGCACACACACACACTTGTACAAATTTACAAGTACAAACATCATTACACTCACACAAAAAATAAAATGTTTTTAACTTTCAACAAATATAAAGGCCAGTTCATTTACAATGTTTAAATTGGTTTTAAATCCAAAGACTCACAGCTTTCAAAATGAATCAAACTAGCAAACATTTTGCCACTGAGAGGACTTCAGCCAAATGGACTAAATCTCAAATGAAATGTTGTGTTGGGCTTCAGGGGTTATCCAAGTCACTCTATTGCAACAACTAGTGTAAAACTGTATGATTTCGGTTTTGTTTTGTTTCAGGGAAGATTGAAATCCTTTCTACATAAACCAGTATGAGGGATACTTTTTAGATGCCTTTTTAGATACTTTTAGAACCGATATCTACCGGATAAATTGATTTTTAGTGTGAACACCAGTGTTGAAGTCAATCCTTGGGAGATTTCCAGTACAAACACAAAACCAAGGAGGCAAACACAAATCACACTTTAAAGATACATAAAATGTACTCCGAATCACACTGACATTAAATACATACTGCTTGACTCTCAGAAGCACTCTTCTCTCTGATGCACAGGCCTTATAATATGATACTTCACACTACGCCACCAGAAGGCGCTGCTTCAAGCTTTCCAGCCATTTATACTGTCTGCATCATTTGTCAATGAGGCTCAAAGATGGAGGATAATATACAAAGAACAGGCAAATATTGCCGATAAACTGATTGGCTGATGAAATGATAGAGCTAAACAGCAATTTTATCCAAAATGTGTGTTCAGCCAATCTTGATAATGAAAATGAGTCAGACACTTCAGCTCTTCAATTCCATAAGACAAAAAAAAAAAAGAAAAGAAAAAGAAACCAAACTCCATACAGATACTAAAAACATACAGAAACTGACTTAAGAATAATACAATTTAATGCTGATATATAAAACTTCTGTTCATCATACAAATGCTTCTAATTTATTGATATAAAGGCTTTATACGATTCATTAAAAATCATATAAATAGGATTAAAATTGCTACTGTCCTGTTATGTGTTGATCCAGATCTTTAGAAAAAAAGCATTAAGGCATCAAGAGAAGAATCACTGTGCTTCAGAAACTGTTCTCCAGTCTGCATCTGTCATGCATACTGTATAAGACAAATATCGGCAAAAGCCAGGCTTTGTAACTCCTAGTGTTTGTGGAAGTTTGATAAGCTATGGCACAAAATCAACACAGTGAATTTTCTCTTCACTGATCGGGTGTCTCCATCACTTCCTGAGCTGCTATACAGCTATGGACACTGATTTTTGCATGTTCTGGGTCACAGCCTGATTGGGCCTCTACTGCGGCAACTAACGTTTGATGCTCCTCCTGTTCAGCCCCATCTGACTGAGGTTCTTTGTCAGGTTCTTCAGCAGATTCCATCTCCACGGATGTATCTTCAGGGTGCTGCTTCTCCTTAATTTCCTCAATGTGTCCTTCGCTCTCTTCTTCTTGGGGTGCTTTTTCACATTCATTCTCACTCTGGATTGGAGCTGTTGCTTCACTTTGACTTCCAGATGAACATCTGACCTCTTTTCCCTCCAGCATTTCTCCATTATCTCTTGCTCCATCCATTTCTTCATTAATTTCTGCCTCATCTGTGGGTTTCTGGTGGACGCGTTGATGCCTCACCAGACTGTGCTTCAGGGTGAAGGTGCGATGACAGGTTTGGCACTTATAAGGTCGCTCACCTACAACAAAAAGGTTCATTTTAGATGCATCGACTTCATATTTGTTTTTTTTGTTTTTATTGGAAGGTATATTTTATTAAAGGGGTCATAGGATGCCCATTTTCCACAAGTTGATATGATTCTTTAGGGTCTTAATGAAAAGTCTGTGACATAGTTTGGTTAAAATTTTTTTCAATGGTAGTGTAAAAAACACCTTTTTTGCCCTGTCAAAAACAGCTCTTTTCAGAGCACGCAGTTTTGTAGCATTTTCCTTTAAATGGTAATGAGCTCTGCTGACCCCGCCCCTCTCCTCTGAGCTGCTCTCAAGAGAGACTGTTTACTTTAGCTGCATTCATTGTGAAACTTGCTAATTAGCACATTATTAGGAAAGGCGATTTGCAAAAATTCATTAAAAAAACCTTACACTCACTTCTTCTGTAGGTGAAGCTGGATCACGAATGATTCGCGCGAACATAGACGCATTTATGTAGATTGGGGGTGCATTTTCTTCAAAAACAAACGTAATCCACTGCGAGTTCAGCGGCTCAGATGTCGGGAGTAAATGACGACTGCTGTTCATTATTACATCCAACAACAGAACACCTCAATCGCTTAGGAGTCATTCTTGTCTACATCTGCTCCGACGGTGAAACAATGGCGGACTGATGACAGCTCACTCAGGGCGGGTCTAAGGTAAGACGCCGGTCCAGTCTGTGCTGAAACGCTACTGCCAATCAAACTATCGTGGGAGGGGCCTGT